CGTTATCGCTTTAGGCACCACGCGCTGCCGGTGCGTGGGCGGCGCGTGAGCAGTAGGGTGGAGACCACATTCAGTCCTAGAATGATCTCCTAGTCCTCATGAGCGCGTGGGATTTTGCGGATCTTAATTCGGATATCGTTTAAACCCCGAACGGATCTCGCCTACTCTGCGATTTCCAGGTTCAATACGTTTGAACCGTTGGATCGTTGTTAATTCCAAGTATGTTAATTTAGACTTTCCCAGGATCGTATAGTATTTGACAGATCGTAAAACGGAGTCCCGGATACTCCAGAAATGTCAGCCCTAGAGTGAGGTTTACAGTAAAACAAACCAGTTACAGGTCTGGAACAGAGGAAAGAACTACGTGTGGCTTGATTCCTCAGAAAGGGTACGTAGGCAGCCTACAGTTATCAGGTGCAGCCACGAATCAGAGTCCCTCAGTTGTGTTACTGTTCCCAGGACATTTTAGTCATTTACGACCCACGTTTACCAGGTGTCAGTTTTAAACAGGTTTCGACCCGGATTCCAAAGTGGAAATTGGGTCAGGTCGTTTCAGAATGGATATCAATTACATAGTTTATATATAGGTTTTTTTTTTAGTGAAATATTTTTGGGTAGGCTCTGCCCTGGCTTAAGATCCGCCCCTGAGTGGAACCATTCATTATATTTTGTATTTTCTTTAGTCAAGTTTCCGACGTGAGACTTATATTCTTCAACATTAATCCCAAGTTAGAGAAAGTGGCTGCAAATTATTGATATACAGGGTAAAACTATTGCAAGTCATCAACAAAACATAAGCAATTTTATACTCACCTCATGCTTCTTCTCTAGAGTCAAAGCAAATCAAGAGAGATTCTGAAATCCAGTGAAACATTGTTTGCTCCCGAGATAGAAAGAATGAATGACTCGAATGTGCTCAACCGCCTGCAGGTCTTCACTGCCCCTCTGAAGCCTAGCAATGAATAAATTGTGCATGTCATATAGAAGCAGTTCGTCGAGTGATCTTAGACCCTCAATGCCGAGTGGAAGTAACTCCAAATTCTGACATCTGGTCATGGTCAGCTTCTTGAGCTTAGGCATTGATCCATTCTGGACAACCATCATATTTAGCTGATCAAATTGTTCAATGTGTAATATCTTCAGCTCCTTGAACGTGTCCTTTTTGAACTCCAACTTTTCCCTAGTGTAATAGCGAACCAAATCGAGATCCATCAGATTAGGCAAAGCTTTGAGGGCCTCAAATGGGCTCTCATTGGCATCTAGTTTTAACCACTTTAAACCAATCTTGGCTACACTATGGAGCTGGAAAATCCACTTGGGCAGCCTTTCTAGCCGCCCTTTCAAATATGGACGTTGCAGAAAGTGAGGAGGAAATTCCTTGTGATCCAAGTCAAGAAACTCCTCCTCGTTCGTTGATCTTAGTCAAGTGTTGAAAGATTCTGCATTTTCTAATAGAAAAATACAAGTCCCTTCCATCTTTTCTTTCAAGATCTGTCAGCCCCAACTTCCTAAGACCTTTCAGCTTCCCCAAGTCACTCATGATTTTTCTGTTGTTTTTCACCGTAATTAGTGACAACTTTTGTATGCAGCACAAAACTACAATATTGCCTACATAAACCTTCACTCCTCTTGCAGCTCCAAATGTCACATAATTCGGGACATTGTAGCGATAGACTAAAAGATGCCGCAAATTGTGAAGTGCATAAATCTGTGCTGGTGATTTGGTCACTTTGGTCTGCTTAAGATCCAAGGTTTCCAAGAATCCAAGATTCTTTATGGACTTTGGAACTGTTCTAACATTGGTTTCCCTCAGACATAGGTACCTCAAGAGAGTGAGACCAACAACAGAATTGGGAAAGTCCTCCAAGGGACACCTTGCAAATCTAAAACCTTTAAAAATCTAAAGGTCTTAAGAAGCTCAAAGAGAGAACTTGTGTGCCCACACACCAGTAAGGTACGAATACAACTTAAGTCTCTATTCCATGACAAATTGGCCATACTAACGTTATGAACAGAAAGGCGTCGAATTTTCTCACCAGGAATACTACATGCAGTTTTCATCACATGAGACAGTGATGAAATTCTCCACTTTTCAGATGATGAACTCAAGGACAAGGTTCAAAACACGACAGCTCATCACTCGTCCATTGACCTCCATTGTACTTGTATGAACCAAATTTCTTCCAATCAGTTCTTTGAGATAACCTTCTGCAACCTCCTCTATTGGTATTTCTGGTCTTCCCTGCATCACAAATCCTTCAGCTACCCACAAACGAATTAGCCTCTCACGGCTAATGGAGTAGTCTTCAAGAAGCATGAAGTACAAGAAACAAGTTTTAAGATGGCTTTGGAAGACCCTCGTAACTTGGCTGCAAAATTAGGCTGATAATCGGAAGATTGGGTACAAGGCTATCATGTAACTTCTTCCACTGGAGTTGATCATTTCGTTGCTAGCAAAGTACCAACAGTTGAAATTACAAAGGGTAAACCTTCACACCTCTTGAGGATTTTATCTGCTCACTCCTTAAGCTCGGGTGGACATTTTCCTTCTCTATCATCATGAAAAGCCTTCTTGTAGAATAGACTTCGAGTATCTTCTTTCGATAACAAATTGCTCAAATCATAGATGTGCGCATGAGATTTTGCTCTCCCGGAAGCTACATAGAATGTACGAGAAGTTATGATAACTTTACTCCGAAGCAAACCATTTGGAATAGCATTTACATTGCATTCCAAATCTTGGTTGCTCCAAACATTATCTAAAACGAGCACAAACCTCTTTTGTTCAAGAAGTAGTCTCAATTGCACTTTTGGATCTTCATGATGATCTGGTCCCTCCCTTTTGCCTTTCGGGTCAAATTTGCTTAACATGTTAAGTAAGAGCTCATGGAGTTTCCGGGCACACAAGTCACACGGCACATCAATCCAAGCATGGCAATTGAAAAACCCTTGGACCCTTCTGTTTTCAAAAACATTCTTCAACATAGTGGTTTTGCCAAAGCCACCATGACCTACAAGCGAAATGATGGTAAAAGGCCTTGAGTTATCTCCTTCCACCAACTGTTTGATGAGTTTCTGTCTAGGCTTCTCAAACCCCACTATTTATTCCTCTTCAAGAAAGCGATGAGGCAAATGGTTATATCCCCTTCCGGCGGTGCTGGAACTGTTAGTATATGCAGACCATAATCTTGCATATTAATTCAATCAGGAATGTAATAAGATTCAAAGAAATGCAGAGAGATTTTCAGAGAGAAAAAGGAGTAGTGAATTTCTGAGAGAGAGAGCTTGGAGAAGAAGCTGGCTATCTAAATTAGCTCAGCTTCAAAACATGCATATATTGTGATTCTGACAAAACCGTTAGGAATAGAATATTCCTCATTACATCACTCAATCTTAGCCATTCATGCACTACCCTATGAGATAATGACAAGTAGCATAAGCTAAAACATTCTCTGTTGTACACTTGGACTATGATCCAACGCAGCCTTTTAAAGAGTAGAACCATTTCCTGCTCTTGCAGTAATTTCAGACTGCTCATATTTAGATGCCCCAATCTTCTATGCCACATTGCAGTAGAGTGACAAACACTAGCCTTGTAGGCAAGATACATGTCAGCCTGCAATTTCATTGGGAAACTTCGGTTGCCTCTCATTTGTATCCTTGCAATCAAGTTGGAATAGGAACTGTCATTGTAAATCTCCACCTTGTGATCTCCAAACACCAAGTAATAACCATGTTCTATCATATTTCCCACACTAAGTAAGTTTTCTTTCAAGCTAGGCACTAGCATGACTTCTTTGATGTACTTCTTCCCCATTTTGGTTTCAACCACAAGACTGCCCTTACCAGTGACTTCCACAAGCTGTCCAGTTCCCATTTCAACTTTTGCAGTCACATTTCTATCCATGTCAACAAGTAGATCCTCCATTCCTATCATATGATTGCTACATCCGCTGTCCAAGTACCATACCTCATCACCTCCTTTTATACTAGCATTAGTTGCATTGCTAGCATAAAACATAGTTGGAGTAGCATCTACTTGGTTGGCATAGTTGACTTGCTGTGTTGGTTCCTTACTGTAACAATCCTTGGCTATGTGACCAAGTTTGTCACAATTGAAACACTTTGGTTTTCCTTTGAATCGGCACTCTCCAAAGTGTAATTTGCCACAGTGCTTGCAAGGATTTTTAGCACCATCATTTGTTTTGTTCTCCCACTTCTTGCCTTTTGATTTCCAACTCTTGTTTTGCTTAGAAGATTGAGCACCAATTTTAACTGATTTGGCATCCACACTGAGACTAGCAAATGCCTTCTCAGTTTTGTTTTCAGAATGTCTGTCCAACCTTAATTCAAAACTCTTCAATAAGTCTACTACCTCTTGTACTTCAATGACATTCAGATCTCTTGAATGCTCAATAACAGAGCAGATAGAATCATAGGCAGATGGCAGACTAATGAGCAATTTTTAAACAACCCTTTCCCTAGGTAATTCCTCCCCATAACTTCTCATTTGGTTTATCAAATCAAATAGTTTAGTAACATAAGCAGTTAAGGATTCATCATCTTTCATCCTTGTATATTCAAATTCTCTTCTAAGACTTTGTAATTTAACACTTCTTACCTGCTTATCTCCATGGAATTCTTGCTGCAGAATGTTCCAGGCACCTTTTGATGTCTCCTCATGAGAGATTCGTGGGAATATCTTATCTGAAACTGCTCCTTGAATCAATCCAAGAGCCTTAGCATCCATCATGAGTACCTCAGCAACCATGTATTTCCCACTACCACTTGATTCTTCTTTCTCCTTTTTCTTAGTATCAGATTCATCTGACTTCTTCATATCTGTACTATCAAATCCCTTTATCACCAAATCCCACAGTCCATGAGATTTGAAGATGGTCTTCATCCTTATGCTCCAGAAATCGTAGTTCTCACCATTGAAAATTGGTGCTCTCAATTCACCACCACTTGACCCAGCCATGTTAGACTCAGATCTGCAAAACTCAAGCTCAGCTGCAGCTTCGATAGCTTACCACTAAAACGCCCAGTATTACTTGATCAAACCTGGCTCTGAGGCCATGTTAGTATATGCAGACCATAATCTTGCATATTAATTCAATCAGGAATGTAATAAGATTCAAAGAAATGCAGAGAGATTTTCAGAGAGAAAAAGGAGTAGTGAATTTCTGAGAGAGAGAGCTTGGAGAAGAAGCTGGCTATCTAAATTAGCTCAGCTTCAAAACATGCATATATTGTGATTCTGACAAAACCGTTAGGAATAGAATATTCCTCATTACATCACTCAATCTTAGCCATTCATGCACTACCCTATGAGATAATGACAAGTAGCATAAGCTAAAACATTCTCTGTTGTACACTTGGACTATGATCCAACGCAGCCTTTTAAAGAGTAGAACCATTTCCTGCTCTTGCAGTAATTTCAGACTGCTCATATTTAGATGCCCCAATCTTCTATGCCACATTGCAGTAGAGTGACAAACACTAGCCTTGTAGGCAAGATACATGTCAGCCTGCAATTTCATTGGGAAACTTCGGTTGCCTCTCATTTGTATCCTTGCAATCAAGTTGGAATAGGAACTGTCATTGTAAATCTCCACCTTGTGATCTCCAAACACCAAGTAATAACCATGTTCTATCATATTTCCCACACTAAGTAAGTTTTCTTTCAAGCTAGGCACTAGCATGACTTCTTTGATGTACTTCTTCCCCATTTTGGTTTCAACCACAAGACTGCCCTTACCAGTGACTTCCACAAGCTGTCCAGTTCCCATTTCAACTTTTGCAGTCACATTTCTATCCATGTCAACAAGTAGATCCTCCATTCCTATCATATGATTGCTACATCCGCTGTCCAAGTACCATACCTCATCACCTCCTTTTATACTAGCATTAGTTGCATTGCTAGCATAAAACATAGTTGGAGTAGCATCTACTTGGTTGGCATAGTTGACTTGCTGTGTTGGTTCCTTACTGTAACAATCCTTGGCTATGTGACCAAGTTTGTCACAATTGAAACACTTTGGTTTTCCTTTGAATCGGCACTCTCCAAAGTGTAATTTGCCACAGTGCTTGCAAGGATTTTTAGCACCATCATTTGTTTTGTTCTCCCACTTCTTGCCTTTTGATTTCCAACTCTTGTTTTGCTTAGAAGATTGAGCACCAATTTTAACTGATTTGGCATCCACACTGAGACTAGCAAATGCCTTCTCAGTTTTGTTTTCAGAATGTCTGTCCAACCTTAATTCAAAACTCTTCAATAAGTCTACTACCTCTTGTACTTCAATGACATTCAGATCTCTTGAATGCTCAATAACAGAGCAGATAGAATCATAGGCAGATGGCAGACTAATGAGCAATTTTTAAACAACCCTTTCCCTAGGTAATTCCTCCCCATAACTTCTCATTTGGTTTATCAAATCAAATAGTTTAGTAACATAAGCAGTTAAGGATTCATCATCTTTCATCCTTGTATATTCAAATTCTCTTCTAAGACTTTGTAATTTAACACTTCTTACCTGCTTATCTCCATGGAATTCTTGCTGCAGAATGTTCCAGGCACCTTTTGATGTCTCCTCATGAGAGATTCGTGGGAATATCTTATCTGAAACTGCTCCTTGAATCAATCCAAGAGCCTTAGCATCCATCATGAGTACCTCAGCAACCATGTATTTCCCACTACCACTTGATTCTTCTTTCTCCTTTTTCTTAGTATCAGATTCATCTGACTTCTTCATATCTGTACTATCAAATCCCTTTATCACCAAATCCCACAGTCCATGAGATTTGAAGATGGTCTTCATCCTTATGCTCCAGAAATCGTAGTTCTCACCATTGAAAATTGGTGCTCTCAATTCACCACCACTTGACCCAGCCATGTTAGACTCAGATCTGCAAAACTCAAGCTCAGCTGCAGCTTCGATAGCTTACCACTAAAACGCCCAGTATTACTTGATCAAACCTGGCTCTGAGGCCATGTTAGTATATGCAGACCATAATCTTGCATATTAATTCAATCAGAAATGTAATAAGATTCAAAGAAATGCAGAGAGATTTTCAGAGAGAAAAAGGAGTAGTGAATTTCTGAGAGAGAGAGCTTGGAGAAGAAGCTGGTTATCTAAATTAGCTCAGCTCCAAAACATGCATATATTGTGATTCTGACAAAACCATTAGGAATAGAATATTCCTCATTACATCACTCAATCTTAGCCATTCATGCACTACCCTTTGAGATAATGACAAGTGGCATAAGCTAAAACATTCTCTGCTGTACACTTGGACTATGATCCAACGCAGCCTTTTAAAGAATAGAATCTTCCTATTCTAATTACATTTCAGCAGACACACTTATACACCAACAGGAACTTGGTCGGCCTTCTTGGTCACGTCTCAGAACTTGGTGAATTGACTTAGAGCTGAAAGAAAACTAAGCTTGTTGTCGATGATGTTTTTTATTGCGGAGGAGAACTCACGGCCTGCTTTCTGTACTGAGGGGTCATGATCATGAACAAAGTCGTGAAACTTCTCAGATAATCCATTGCTAGGGAAGTGATGAGGAACCTTAAGCATGAACGTCTCAAGAACATCCTCAATTTCATAAGCTATGTTTTGGGTCTCTTTTACACGAGTTTGAAGCACTTCAAGGTCTGATGATGATGATGCTGCTGAGTAATCCCTTAAATATGCTCGCATCCTCTCTAAACATTTCTTGGCGTTTTCGACATCATCATGGACATTGTGACTTCTTGAAGGCTTGAGTTTGTGGTAGAGTACTTGAACGGCAATTTCAGCCATTAATTTGTGGAGAAAGACAAATTTCCGAGTTCTTAAAGACTACGTACCCTGCTTCAAAAAATGCAGAAGAAATTAACGACTGAAAGAGACAACAATTACTTCATTGCTCATGATAAAAGGAAGCTTAGAATGGTATGATGCATGAACAAGACACACACTTTGTAAACTAGAAGAATGATTTGGACGTTGAGAGGTTAATGGAAGAAATTTGGTGGATGAACATTATTATAGGAAGAAAGGTTCTGAAATAGTATTATTTTGATGGGGATGATGAAAGTGTGGTGGTGTGAGCACAGATTTATAGAGACTGAGAAGCTGTAGATATTTTGTATGTAGAATAGATACAATTATACTAAAAGATATTTAGTATGTATGTAATCAGAAAAATATAAATAAATAAATAAATATTGCGTGTACCATTTTTACAGAATGTGAGGACCACATGCATTCTTAGCTTGAGGTTGCATGGGGATGACCTTTTTTGTCTGAATTACACGTTGATTTTTCTTTTCCCAAAACCATGACATAAGAATCTTCTGCGCAAGTTGCACTGACTTGCAAAGCAACTCACTCGCAAGGGAGTCAATCTCCTGAAAATACCATTAAACAATTTCCTAGTTGCCATCAAGCTACAAGTTACGACTGTCCTCCTCACAGCAAATTTTCTCATGTTATATACAATCGATTACACTTAAAATTTTATGTTTGTTGACGAAAAATATGAAACATCTTCAACTTAGTGGGCATGACCTAGAACAGTAAAAAATAATATGAATGGAAAGGGGTTTCAATGGAGGGATATTAATTATATTATTCTTATCCAACAAAACAGATGCCCCTAAAACCTCCCAATAACCATTGAATTAAATAATCTAGTTGCAAGGTTGATAAGGGCATGGATCAATCTCGATATGTATGGAAAAGTCTCAAGAGAAAATATCATGATTTAGCAGATGTGGACAAATTCTACATTTGCAAGTACGAGGACCACTTGAGAAACTTTGGCTTGTATGTGTTGAACAAGTCAGCCATATTCTTTTAAAGTCATTCAAGTGAAGTAGTTCATTTTTTATATGGCCTGAAACAGTGTGAGCTGTGGGTGGCAAGAAATTTATGGTTGACCTTGATTTCATTGTTCTCTCCTATTTTGCTAGACTTTGTCTTTTATTTTCTATTTTATTATGATGTCATTTCATACAGAAGCTTTTCCCACTCCTTCTCCACCACATAACATGTGAGAGTCCGTTTTTTTTTTAATGATGATTTTCTTAAAACTTGCTTTTAATATTAATATTATTTAATGGTAGTTGAATTTTGTCCTTAGCTATCTATAATTTCATGTATGGTTGTGTAATTGAGTTAATACGCTCCACGTAGTTATCATGTGTCAATCAAATATGCATTAGATGGTCTACTTGTTTTATGTACTTGCAAACTAATTAGATGTTAATGAATTAAATGGTTGAGTCATCATCAATACGTGTCTTCATTGTATTTCTTCTTATCCTTCTATGGCCTTAGAGTGAAGGAAAAGCTACTTGAGCTTTAAGAAATAAGGAGATGATCCTAAAGCATTGAAGTTATCTCATAGCTACCGCCCTTGGAGTCCTATAAATACAACCATTATTGTTTTCTTCAATCCTCATTTCCTTCTTCAGAAAAGCGTAGAGGGAATAGAACTAAGAAATAAATGCAACGTGTGAGAGAGAGAGAGAAGACTAAAGAGAGATACAAGGAAATTTGATATTGGACGAGATAGGTAAATGGGTTGTCTTGCCAATTTATTTTAAGGGCTCTCATTGTCGAGGTGAGTGGTTTATGTAATGTGCTCTAAAAGTTCTTATTTTGTGATAAAATATGAAAATCATGAATTATCATGGATTTGTTCTATTTACAAATATCTCTCTATTTCAAGTCAAGTATGTCTAATTTGGTGCAACCTTTCACACTATATATATATATATATATATATATATAGATTTTTGTATTTGTGTAGTATATATATTTCTCATAACATATGTATGAAGGGATGATGTGATATGATCTGGATTGGTGTATCTTTTCATTATATTTTCTAGAGTATGTAAAACGGCATTGCTTGACTGGCATATTACATAATTTACTCACTGAGCGGTGGTTGCTCACCCCTCACCCTGTTTAATTTTTCAGATGAATTAGTAGGCAAGACGAGGACTAAACAAATTGAGGCTAAATTAGAGGAGAATAGTAGAGCTTTGTTTATTTATTGTAAAGTTGTAAGATTTTGGGAGCTATTTTTATAATAGAAGTTTATTTTAAATTTTATGTTTTGGCTTTCTTTTTATTTTTATTTTTATTTTTCTCAAGCACCGGGTGCGGGGTTTTCACCAACCCCGGGTCCGAGGTGTGACATAACATCACATCATTAAACTAAATTTTTTGTAATTAATAAGAGAGCAAACATTAGAAAAAGAAATATCACCAGACCGATAAAAAAAAGAAAATAAGAATTTAGCTAGTATGCTCAAATCTCTAAGAATGTCACCAAGGATTTTGCATTCGTGCCTGCAAATGATTCTTTGGACCATAACTTGCCTATTAAGTTTTCTCAACTGATTCTTTTTTGGAGATGATATGGGGTGGCAAGAAAATCGTACTTCTGAGATTTGGTCAGCTTTTTTTTCCAGTCTTTTAATAAGAACAATATTTTATCATTACCTTGAACAAAGATTCCTTTCTAAAAGTTGCATTTGCAGATCAACTGGATAGACCATTAGAAATAATCTAACCCCAAAAAAAAAAAATAGTAGACATTTGCAGATGAACTGGATCGACCAATAGAAATAATCCAACCAAAAAAGCAGACATCCCAAGAAACAAAGAAAGCATCTGACAAGACAAAATGCAAGTTGCATTTGAGCCAGTACATTCATAGATATCAATTCAAATTAAAGCAATGCATTCATCTCAGTTTCTTTTGGTTCTTGGCCTTCCACTCTTTGATATCAGCTTCAATCTGTTTTTGCACACTTGCATGGAAACCTGGATAAGGTTCATAGCCAAAGGCTGATTGAAGAAGCTCAAGCAGCACAAAGTAAGGCCCCATTAGAAGTGCTTGAACAAAGTTGTCTGAAAGAGCTGGTGCTCTTTTCTCAAATATCCCATGGCCTATGAACTGTCCAGTCCAGCAGAACAACTGAGCAGCCAGAACAAGCTTCCATGACCTGGAAAACCCAAGTCCACCGGCAAGAAAACTGGCTCCAACCCAACAGAGAAAGCAGAGCAAAGCTGCCAAGGGCCCTGCTTTCTTATCCAAGCAAACATAAAAAACAGCATACATCAAATTAAGAACAAACCCAAAATTCAATTCAAGACCATGTTCACTAATCCCAGATGGGAAACTGTAGAGAGAAGGTGTGAAATGGAGAAGAACAGCAGCAGTGAAGAATAATGGCCACACAAAGAAAGTGTGTATCAAAATGTTGACTGGGTTGCTGTGATATGCTCCATAAAAGGCAAAGTGCCTTTCAAGATCAAACAATCCAGTCCTCCCCATGAAACTTTTCTTGCCAAATTGAATTGTGTTTGTTGGAAGAAAAGGACGGGTTTACTGGAAATTTAGACTTGACTGGCAAATGGGTACAGATAAAAGCACAGCTGGTGAAGTTTCCTGCTAGCTACTTTCTTAATTGTATAACAATGTGTCAATGATCATTTTTTATAATATCGTTAAACTAATTTTATGGGAAAGGATTGGATTGGGCTATATATTCAAACATATTTCTACCCACCGTTGTCTTGTATCTATGGCAACCAGAGTTCTTATGGATCACCATGGGACACATGCCTCACAATTGATTGGATCTGGCCACCTATTCATGTGAAGTCTTTTAAGTTGAAGCAACCAATGACACTTTTATTAAACTCAATTTTAATGATCATATGTTCTACCTCCTAATTTCTGGTTTGGCTGATTTGGTGTCAGTAAACCTCGGATTTGATGATATTTAGTTGTACTACAAAGCCAATAAATTACAATGAAATACATCGTACCTGGGAATTTTCATGTCGAAAATAATCAAGGCATTGAAATTATACAAACTTTTGCATCAAAATATATATTATAGGCTATCATGTCCTCTGCAATTAGTACAGGAAAACTGCACCTTTGTTTCCGGTCGTTTAATAAGAATAATGCATTGTCAGTACCTTGGACAATAACACAAGATTCCTTTGTGCAAGTTGCATTAATTTGCAAAGCAAGCTGACGAGATCATTAGAGATAATCTAGAAAAGAAAGCAAACATCCCAAGAAAGAAGAAACTAAAGCAACTGGCAAGACCATTAAAAATGCAAAGTTGCATTTGATCTAGTTGTCAACAAACCGAAAGGTTAAAAGAAGAAGCTGATGGTAGAAAGCCAGTACATTCATAAAGTTCATAAAGGAAGGAAACTACAGTAATTTTACAAAATTTTCATACAAAATACCAAAGTTCATAAACTACATAGAGATTTGACAAAATTTTAATACTAAATAACCAGTACATTCATCTCAATCCATCTCAGATAATTAAGAGAGTTTCTTTTGGTTCTTGGCGACCTTCCACTCTGCGATATCAGCATCAATCTTTGCATTCACACTTTTGTAAAACCCTGGATAAGGTTCATAGCCAAAGGCGAAGTGAAGAAGCTCAAGCAGCACAAAGTAAGGCCCCATCAGAAGCCCTTCAGCAAATTTTTCTGAAGGAGCTCTTTTCTCAAAAACCCCATGGCCTATGATCTGTCCAGCCCAGGAGAGCAACTGACCAATCAGAACAACCTTCCATGATTTTGAAAACCCAAGCTCACCACCAAGAACACTGGCTCCAACCCAATTGACAAAACAGAGCAAAGCTGCCAAGGACCCTGCTTTCTTATCCAAGCCAACATAGTACAGAGCATACATCACAGTGAAAACAAACCCAAAATTCATTTCAAGTCCATGCTCACTAAACCCAGATGGGAAACTGTAGACAGAAGGTGTGAAGTGGAAAAGAAGAACGGAAGTGAAGAACAAAGGCCACACAAGGAAAGTGTGTATCAAAATGTTAAAAGGGTTGCTGTGATATGCTCCATAGAAGGCAAAGTGCCTCTCAAGATCAAACAATCCAGACCTACCCATGAAATTTTTTTGTTGCAAAACCAAATTTTTTTCTGTTGGGAAGAAGGACAGATTTTCTTGGGAAGCTAGACTTGACAGGAAACTGAAAGAAGTGGGGGTATAAATAGAACATCTGGGGGAGGTGAAGTTTCCTGCGCACTGCTTTGAAGTTTCTTTTATTAATTGCTTTTACAAGCGTCAATGGTCAATTGGTATAAAATGTGTTTCATGGTCGACTTGTATTGACTCATGGAGAAGGATTTTAGTTGGATTGAACTGCACGGTACTGAGATGGATTAAAGTAATCTTTTGGGCAAAGGACTAGATTGGGATATAGATTTAAAAACAAACAAACTTATACCTACCATCATCTTGTCCCTATGGCAAACCGAAGGGTTGTGTAGCACATGCCCTCATCTGGTCACGTTGAGTCATTAGGTGTGGAAACAACTTTTTTGTTAAACTCAACTTTAATGATTCCATTTTATACCTGCTAGTTTTTGTGTAAGAAATTGTTCATCCAATGCTAGCCCAACACAAGACCTGTTGAGTTTTGTTTGATACATACCTGATAATTTTCTATGTCTAAGATAATCAAGGCATTGCAATTAATATTGTACAAAATATTGCATTGAAGTACATATAGATTATGGTTTTTTTTTTTTTTTAAATAATCTAATCTAAACTGGCAGCGAACTCGGGTGCATAATGGGGAGCATATCAGTTCTAGCCAACTTGGCTAAGTTCATGTCTGCACATATAGGTAATTGTTATCTAAGATAGTTACATCTTGAGTTTAATTACAAGAAAGAAACATTTTTTCTTTTCTCTTGATATTAAAGAGATGGTATATGTCATAGATATTAACTAGACGGTACTAGTCACTCAACTTGTCACGTGAGAAAAAAGTCATGGCTAAATCTTTTTTAAAGAAGACAATAATCTTTCTCATGTATTGCAAGTAACTCTCTCTCTCTCGCCAACATTTACTATTACTAATACACTTGACTCAGTCAAGTATTACCCGAAAGATGTGAAAATAGAGAAACTTTAGGTAAGGTCTGACTCAGTTTAGCCTCAACCTAACCTTTCTCAAATGGGAACGCTATAAATTGACAACCACCATAAATTGTTAAAGTTATAAAATAATGTGAATGCTCCTAAAATCAAATATTCAAGTGCATTAAGTGCTACCAATACAAAAGCTTGCCATAAATCATATACGGAATTTTGCATAAATATTACTTGAATTTTTAGGCATGTGCGAGATTACCATCTAAACTTTTAATTTTCACTTGTAACTACCTGAACTATGCAAAGTGTTAGAATTTACATATATGACTTGATTTAATAGAATTTTTTAACGGGGTTATATGTAGGTGGAAAATTTCAACACTTTACATAGTTTAGGTGGTTACAAGTAAAAATTAAAAATTCAAATTCAAGTGGTAATCTCGCATATGACTAAAAATTCTGATGATATTTATACAAACTTCCCAATCATATAATAAGAAAATCTTAAGAATCAAAGAATATGCCAGTAACATGATAAATAATCTCAAGCCAGTGGGCCCAGTGGGCCATGGGCCTAGTGGGGTCCTTTTCTGTAATCTCAGGCCTCATTCATTTCTCTCCACGGTCTGATTTTCTCTCCTGTGCTGCTTGGCATCGAGATTGAAGCCCATTTGTCAAAAATTATCAGAAATAGTTGGCAGTTTTTTTTAATTTTAATTTTAATATTTTCAACTTGTATAGTATTTAACAATAATTGTATGTCACATTAGTTGGAGTTTTATGTCCAAAGTCCAAACACAAATGCTCAAATGTTTCACCATTGGCCCATGCTAATCATACAAAACAAGCAAAACAAACCTACGATTGTATTAGAATAGTAATCAGTGGGAATTAAGAAAGTGAAAAGGCAAAACTGCTCGCAGAAGAAGACAGAAAGGTGATTCTCATGCTCGGCAATTCTTCTTTCTTTATGTCATGAATTTCAGGAAATGATGGTAAAGACTCATCTCAATTCTCTATCCAATAATTCAGAACAAAAATAGAAATTTTTGGAGTTCGTACATCTGCATTCATTTTCTTTTGTTATTCTATTTGCTCTACCAAACTCATGCTTGTGGTTGTAAACTGCGAGCAGCTGGTTTTCATGGACTTTGTTCATAAATTAGGGCAATATAGTTGGGAATTTTTCTTCCATGGCTCATAGCTTATTATTATAGTGGTAAATTTCATTTTTCCATGGCCCGCAATGAAAATTCAATTCTCGTCCTGGTCTGTTTTGTGGCCTTAGGCCTTTGAAAGGAACAAATTAAATATGTCATCGTAATGATTGACTTGCAATTTGCGTTATCCTCTATTTATACAGATATTCACTTGTTTTACTCACATCTAAATACTCTCAAAATAGCCATTATCTAACCCTAAATGTTCACCTAGTCTAGATTGAAAATGATCTTGAATTTCCCTTTTTAGTAGTATCTCCAATAGCTGTTCCCAGTCTAAAAGAAAATTTATGAAACTGCCAATTACGGTAATCGTACTTGGGGGGAGTTATATTCTTTGATTTTTTTTTTTTATAACAAAATTGAAGTAAAGTTATAAAGAAGAGAAACTTGTGGTTGCAACTTTAAGCAAAAGTGGTGTGCTGAGTAAAAGAGTGGTTGGTACTTAACCCAATTCAATTGACCCAATATTATCTTTGAAAAAATTTAAATTTTTAGTTTCGATCATGCGTGATCGTTAGTGGAGGAGCCTTAGATTTTTTTAATTTTGATGTCAGATCGCTCCATTATTATAATGACTCTTTGTGGCTAGTTTGTATTAGCCATTTGTGACTAATGGTTTTTTTGGCTGAATTATGAATGCAATTTCAAAATTTCAAAAAAAAAAAAAAAAAAAAGACTACACAATAGAAAAAGAGAATAATGAGGAAAATATATATATATATATATAATTCTAACCTTAATAAGATATCAACATCATTGTCACTCATATTTTCATTACTCATGAGTCATGACATACATTCAGTTTACAAAATGAAATTTTGACCATCACCAACAGTAGGGATTATAAACTAAACAGTCCATTAATTAATTGATTAACATGTTGTATACAATTGGAGTATAATACCCAAAAGAAACCAAATTGACACGTGGCACATAAAATTCCCCCACATGGGTCCATACTTCTTTAATTCCAAACTAAACCCTACAACCAAAAGTCAAAACACTCCAAACCAACCACATTGCCTAAAGGCAATGAGAACCTATTCCTTGTGGCACAAAAAAATATTTGCAGAAGATATAAAGCATACACATGAACATTGCCTTATTATTATATTCTCAAACAAACATAACAAAACTAAAATGAATATATGCCATGAAAAAAGAAAACATTTTTACTGTCACCACCCAATTAGAAATCTCTTGGGAAAAAAAAGTTAAAATATTTATCTATAATTGTAAAAATAAAAAATAAAAATTTCTGGGGTAGTTATGATTATGAATAACATGTCTCTTGCACTTGCAAAATGTGAGAGCACAGAGAGTCAGAGATGGAGGGCAAGAGAGAGACAAAAATCAAGATGAAAGCCTTTGTTATTGCTTAAGTCACCTTACGTTAGCTTTGCCTTCCTTCATTTTTAACGTCCCCATACATTTCAATACACACTCAACTCTCTCTCTCTGAAAGCCAAGCCAAAATGCCAAACCCAAAAAACCCATAAAAAGAAAATAGAGGAAAGAGAGAGAGAGAGAGAGATATATAGAGAAAAGGGTTAGAGCATTTAGCAAAAGAAGCCAAACCCAAAGCCAACTGTTTGCTCCTCCCAACACCTCCATCTCCATCACCACCTCAGCTCTGATCATTGTCCACTAAACCCATATTCCTCTTTTCAACCATTTTTATTATTCTACTCAGAGTTTCTTTAAATTTTCCATCTTTTTTGTTTTTGGTTTTTGTTCAATTGCGCTCCAAAATCTCAAGCTCTAATAAACCCTCACTTACAGAGGGACAGCATCAAACACAGAGGAGAAGAGCAACAAATAGTTTAATTTATTAATTTTATTCTCTCCTTGAATTCTCATTCTTATATCATTTCTATTTATAATTCTAGTAGTTGCTATTTTCTTTTTCCTTCTTTTTAAAAAAAAAATCTCTGTGGGGGGTTTTGATTCTATGGCTGCGGTTGCTGAGATTTCCGGTGAGGCAGCCTCTGTCAAAAACTCAAACTTGGATTCAATGTCAAAACCCATGTCCGATTCCAAATCAGAATTTGATGTGCAGAAGCTGGTGGATATGTTCACCAAGCTGAACCCTTTAGCCAAAGAGTTTTTCCCTTCATCTTACTCTCACCACCAACATTCCAATTTTGACAACTCTTTGGCGGTCAATAACAATAAGCTCTCAGCCAATGATAATCTGGCCAATAATCGAAGGGTACTGATCACTCTCTTTTGATCCCTTTTTGTCTTTTTTGTTTTATTTAAATAATGGGTTGTTACTTATATTTTGTTTTTCTTCTGATTATGTTCGGATTTTAGCTAAATGGGCTTTGTGGGATTTTTCTAATTGATGTAATTTTGATGTAATGTCATTTGAATTGGGTTTTTCGTTGAATTGGTAGCTGTTCAGGTTGTCGGTGAGTGAGGTTCTTGAATTTCATTTTTTGCCTTGCTGATCATTCATTATAAAATAGTTTAGTGATTGCTGATTATGATAGAAATGAAAAGGGTGTATAGTTCCAGTATTGTAAGTTGTAACCGTATGCATAGTTTCTGTTCAGAAGTTAGTTGTTTACTGATGTAGTCTGAATTCATGATCTGAAGTTCGAGTTTCCACTTGTTCGTCTTGAGAGTAAATGAGCTCTATGTATTTTGTTTAGCCTTTTGATTTTCAGTTAACATTCAGTTTGATTTCTATGGGCTGTGTGTTTGTGTTGGAAAGTCGGTTGCTCCTTTGGTCAGCAATTTTTTTTTCTGGATACGCTTAGCAATCACTTTTATTATTCAGCATGGAGTTTTGTTTGGTGCATATTTTCAATCATGACTGTGTTTCTCATCATCATTATTATTAGTTAGAACTTGTAATGATTTGATTGTTGGACTTCTTATCAATTGAGAGCCTCTGAAGCTGTTCTTTTGTAAGAAACGACTTTGTTTGAAAAGATATGGATTACGTTCTACAC